ACAGTGGTCAAAACTGCATGGTACTGGTATAATGACAGATACTCAGACCAATGGAAAAGAACTGAAAACCCAGAAATAAAATCAGCATACAGACAACTGATCTTTGATAAGGGCTCAAAAAATATCCAATGGGAAGCAGACGCCCTCTTCAACAAGTGGTGCTTGAAAAAATGGATATCTACCTGCAGAAAAATGAAGCAAGACCCCTATCTCACTCCATGCACAAGAATAAACTCAAGGTAGATCACAGACCTTGAAGTAAAACCCCTAACTATTAGGGTCATCAAGGAGGAAATTGGGACCAACTTGAGAACTCTGGCACAGGGAAAATATAGGCTATCAGAAATAAGGAAGGACAAAAACACAGAGGTGGCACAAATTGACAAGTGGGATATAGTGAAGATAAAACATCTGTGTACATCAAAAGAATTCACCTGAGAGTAATAATAAGAGAGTCAATGGACTAGGAAAACATCTTTAGCAATGACACATCAGACAAAGGCCTTATTACTAAAATCTACAATACTATGCTAGCTTCCAAAAAGAAAAAAACTAATTGCCCACTGAGGAGGTGAGCAAAGGACCCGAAGAGAAGCTTCACAGAGGCAGAAATCCGAATGGCCAACAAACATATGAGAAAATGTTCCCGATCTTCAGCCATAAGAGAAAAGCAAATTAAAACGAGATACTACCTAACGCCCTCAAAGATAGCCCAATTCAAAAAGTTAGAAAGCAACAAGTGTTGGAGGGGCTGTGGGGAGACAGGAACTCTCATCCACTGCTGTTGGACCTGTAGGTAAGTACAGCCACTATGGAAATCAATCTGGCGATATCTAAAATAGATGGAAATTGAGCTACCATGTGACCCAGGAATCCCCTACTGGGCATATACCCAGAAAAGGCAAGAAATAAACCACAGCCAGACATCTGTACTCCAATGTTCATCGTGGTACAGTTCACAATTGCAAGGAATTGGAAACAACCCAAATTTCGATCACCTGACAAGTGGATTAAAACACTGTGGTACATACATACAATGGAGTACTGCTCATCGCTAAAAAGCAATGATGAACGTATGATGCACATCACCACATGGAAACAACTAGAGGAAATCATGCTAAGCGAAGTAAGCCAAACACAAAAGGACAAGTACAACATGAGTCCGTTGAGGTAAGCTTAAAAAAAAAAATGCAAACGGGGCATAGGGAAAAACCTACTGTATACATGCATTTCTGGGGTGAGGTCCAGGTAGTATGGCAGG